GTACAACTTCTTCATTACAAATCACTTCATTACTTTACCATTTTGTTGGCAGAACACAAAATGTTTTTGTACTTGTGGTGTCGTTGACTGAAGCACATAGATCAGAAATGCAGTAATTTGTCAGATATTCCCATCTCTGGCTTCTCAAACACATCAGAATACATATAATGATTAACAGTCTGGCCTCACTAGTTCTGTATGACAGTGATGATAAACTGTGATGAGGAATCTGATTTAACAGTCTACATTTATTCCAGTATGAATATTCAAACTGAATCAGAACTGAGGGCCAGAGCTTAATTGTGATTGTATAAGTTCTGTATACAATACCAAAGCAGACAATATATCATTTCAAATGACTAAAAACCTCAACTAAAGTCACTTTTTGACATCAAATGTGGCCAGAGCAAACGTCACAATGTCATATTTGAAAGCAAGTGCTGGAAAACACCTGTGAGCTCCTGAGAACTGTGCATTGACAAATATTTTTGTATTTTTATCATCATGCAGTCAGTGCATGTGTGTGAAAAGAATACATGGATTTTTTTCACTTACTGATTCCCCAACATTTCTGTGTTTTTTATAAAATGAAAACTTCACTGACCTGCAGTTTTTATTCAAATATTTATTACCTCTTCACAATAATTGAGACAGTTCAGTTGTTAAAGGGATAGTTCACATAAAAATGAAAACTCTGTCATCATTTACTCATCATTTCATTGTTTCAAACTTTTAAGAGTTTCTTTCATCTTTTGAACACAAGCGAAGATATTTTGAAAAATGTTGCAAACCTGTAATTATTGACTTCTATAGTATTTGCTTTTTTCCTACTATGGAAGTCAATGATCACAGTTTTTTAGCTTTAATCAAAAATCCAATTAGTTGGTCATTAACTTTTAGTTACACTTTATTTTATTTCAAGTTTCTTTTATTAGATTTTCTTTAACATGGAATCTTAATTACAACTTTAATTTTATAATTATCCTTCCATATTGATGTTAACACTACCCCAAATAAATACTTCCTTCCCTCAGCAGCCTCTAACCATTAATAAAACTAAATAAGAATAATTAAGCTTATAATAATAATAATAATAATAATAATAATAATAATAATAAATAAATACATAATAAAGATGAATAAATTTAAAAATAATTATGTATTCATATATTATTGCTCAGCTTAAGAATCAAGAGAGTTTGTCAGCAGATACTCTAAAAAGAAGTGCCACAACTTGTCAAATGTCTTTAAAGAACGAGTAAGTGATAGTCTAGTTTTTTTTTTTTCAATTTAATACAAGTAAACACTTCTTTTATCCATGCATCAAAGAGGGTGGAGAAACATGTTTCCACTTCAACAGGATGGTAAAGTATAGCTAAAGCCTTTTAGACTATTACTGAAAGGTTAACATCTACTGCCAATCCAAAACTAGCCAGAAGTGGATTTGTGTCCATGTAGTAATAATAATAATAATGCATTTTATTTATATCGCGCATTTCTAAAACCCAAAAGCGCTATATCTATGTCAAATGCATCTTTCAAAGTTTGAAATATTTTAGTCCAATAATCCAATAATTTTGTGCATTCCCACAACAAGAGATCCGCTGGTGATTGCTTGCACCTTCTACATGCATCGCTGACAGAGGGGTATATTTTAGCAAGTCTAGCATTAGTTTTGTAAACCCCATGGTTGCACTTTATTTTAAGGAATTCTTGTTACAGGGTTAAATAAACTACTTAGAGTATTAATAAATTACATGTACTTCTAATATAGTTTGGTTTTGAATGTGAATAAGGTTTAGAGGTTGTACTTAATTATGCAGAATCGATTGTAATTACTATGAAGGGCATTGAACACGTAACAAGTATTACCAACTTAACCTATACGGCACCTCGAACTGCTGTGTACTTGCGTAAAAATTCATTGCTGGGGTAATGAACTGTCAGATATGCTCAACAGGGTATTTACAGCCAGGTGAAAAGAAATACTTTATTAATGTAAACTCATATGGATGCATAATTTTCAGTTTTTAAAAAAAATATTTCTTACTGCAAATCGAAAAAATATATCGAAAGTGCACAAACATGCACAAAACTTCTTGTAATCTGAAACACTGTAAAATGGAGGATCGTGCAGTGCACACACATGACTAAAAGAAAACAAAAACAAGGGGGTTTTATTCACCATTTCCTGCCTAGCCACTTATTTTGTTACACCACCAAATGTAATCTTTCATTTCAGTCTGTACCTTCAACACAGATAACAAAGGTAAGTTTGCACCTGAATGTGACTTAGAAATGAGTTAGGAATATATAGATCAAGCATTGTGTATATTACACAGGTTTTTTCTGTCACTTCTATAGCAGTGGTCAAAATGTATATGTTTTTGAAGCTTTCTATGCTCAACAAGCCTGCAATTATTTGATATACTATGATACTACTTTGATAGCATACTATAAAAAAGCATAATATAAAAAAAACTTTCTATTTGAGTATATTTTACATTTATTTCAGTACTGTGATGCAAAGCTAAATTTTCAGCAGCCATTAGTCAAGAAATGCTGCTTTTTGGAAACTGATATTGTGACATCAAAGACATTGTGCTGTACTTTGATACTTTTTGTTGAGCAATATATCCTCAAAAACCTGCAGTTTCAAATTCTTAAAAGACTAAATTTAAATCAGCTGAATAATACTATATACACATTATCATCCGCACTCACATGATCACATTAAGACTATTGAAAGTTTTCTGTTTCTTGGCACAGTATAATTGTTTGAGTGAAATGCTAATATTTATTTTATTCTCTAAAGGTGTGATCAAATATCTTTACATTTCAAACATTCAAACATTTTCCCAGAAATATTTCTTAATTCCTCTGAAGTTAAAATATTGCAATTTCATTAAATGTTACTAAATTAGTCATTAAATGGTAACACATAAGTATTCATTATTCCTTTCAATTTACCCCCCAACCCCCCCCCCCCCCCCCCCAAAAAAAAAAAACAACAACATGGAATTCTATAGTAAGACTAAATTATCCAGAAATATACAAATCAGCATAATTGTGATACTTTTTGTAATATTTTTTTATTTTTTGAGTTTTAAACAAGTGCTCACAGTTTATTTGATCATTTCAGAGATATATTCTCATTTAAGACCACCCATCACTATAAGTATTTTTTTTCTTTCAATGTGCTGACATCCCACTATTGATTGAAATAGTATTATATTATTTATATTAATATTCAACTTTACAAATAAGTACAGAATAATTTCACCTCAACAGAAATATTTGTACCACAGGTACAAAAAAATATCTGTTGTATCTCCACAGATCTTATGGAGTCACAATCTACTCTGGATACAGGTAACCAATGCTCATTTACTTTCACATTTTGAATCTTCAACCACTAAATGTCTCTTTTCCGTCTAGAGTTCAGAACAAAACTATTTCTCAATTCAATCACTGTATTGAAATGATGTTCAAACATGTTAAATGAGCTTATTGCAAATTCGTAGTCAAGTCAGAATAGTATAGATCCATATAAACACCTCAGTTGGGATGAAAATGACCAAAATGAAGAGGTTTGAGAGGAGTGGGATAAACTTTTTGTTAAACAATAAATAAATAAAGCTGCCATGTAAATACATAAACGGATTGCAATGCAACTGCCATGATTTTCCACAACTCTTTTTTTTCTTTTTTCGGAAGCATCATCTTTTAATGTTCAGGTACTTTTTTTTTTAAATGTATTTCAGGGTGTCCTTTGACAAATTGACAAATAATAATAATACATAACAGTTCATAATGTGAATAATAAAAACATCAATAAATGTATATATATATATATATATATATATATATATATATATATATATATAGTTTTACAGGAGGCTAATACCAGTAAGCAACTATGTTTAAATCATTTTTTTCACACTTTGGTAAAACAAAATACAAAGCATTAAATTCTGCTAATTTTGTTTAAAGGTAATCTTTTAAAAGGGTTTAACTGAATATTGTCTTTTAATAAACCAACAAGCAGTTGCTAAGCAGTTGCTACAGTGCTGTGAATCATTGCTTGGGTGTTGCAAACACTTTTTACTTATACTTAGCATGACGCTTCCACAATTTAGCACTTTGCTTCTTTTAAGCACACAGTATAAACACCACAATAAAAAGACTTATCTTTTTGGCAACAACATGGTGCATTGTAAATGTTTTAAGACAGAATTGTGTAACTGTCTTTTACACAAAACATTACCTAAACGATTTGTGTTCAACTAAAATTTAATGGATTATTTTTGGATTATTTTTTTCATATCTGTAGGCTACTTCTTTTTTGTTATTGCCTTTAATGTTTATGTTTATGCAAGCAATAAATAAAATAAAAACTATAACACGCATTTTCGGCTTATTCCATTTAATGTTTATGTTTATGCAAACAATAATAAAAACTAAAACATGCATTTTCGTCTTAGTCCCTTTAATGTTTATGTTTATGCAAACAATAAAAAACAACAACAACAAAAACGAAAACACGCATTTTCGGCTTAGTCCCTTTATTAATCAGGGGTTACCACAGCAGAATGAACCACCATGTTATCCAATATGTTTTACGCAGAGGATGCCCTTTCATCTGCAACTAATAATAATAATAATAATAATAATAATAATAATAATAATAATAATAATAATAATAATAATAATAGAAATAATAATAATGCCTAATAATATACATAAAAAGAGGTAACATTCAACAAGAATTAACAATAACTTGTCATAAATACGTCAAAACAATTAGTCAGACACATGCATTTTTATGTGCATGAAAACTACATCTACTGATGGTCTATTACAAAGACATTATAACAATTATAAAATATTATAATGTCTATCTATGGTCTATCACACACTTGCATCTTATTTCGCTTCACACATACTGCACACACCCCCTTGGGGAAGTGACGTTGAGAAGATCTCCGCATGCGCATCTACTACGTGCAGTTCTTCCCCTGCTCTGTGGCGGTGGTACTCGAGCGCGTGGGCATCACTGAAGCCCTTCATATTCGCCGTCAAAAGTTTTTGACAGCTTAACACAGACACTAGAGCTAACAACCACTCAAAGGAGCAGTTATCTTAATTGAAAGTAAGTGCTTTGATCTTTATGTGCTACTAACGTTTACTATTACAGAAATGTGCAGGGTGGCCTGCAATGTGACAGCTCGACCAGAATGTGTTTCATTATTATCAGATAATAATGCTGCTAAAGTTAATTGTTGTTTAGCGTTAATAAGACAACCTTAATTCTTTTGAATGTTGATGATGCACAGCACTAAAATTACGTGTGTTAACAAATCGCCCATAGACAGTAACCTTCGCGGAAATACACTCACTTTAAACAAATTTAAGTGCATTTCGTTAACAATAATATTAAGGTCTGACATAGTGTGACATTATTTAAATTATTGTTTTTCTAAACATTGTTTATTATTAATTATTTGAGTAAAAAATAAGTATTCTGCGCGACCACGTGCGCATGAACAGGAAGTGATTTTCCTGAAGTGACCTTCAAACCTCAAGGGTTCTAATTAGGATTTTATTTATGTTTGTACTATCTGCTTTTAACGTACAGTACAATATTTAATTGTGTTAATAGTCATACATGCTTCATGTAACGTGTAACTTTTTTGTAAGCTTGAGTTTTGCAAAATAATGTTTTGTTCCCATAGTAGTTCAAGAAGTTGTATGTATCAACATTTACAATGGAAATCATTATTAACCAGTGTCTGGACTAGCTGATTGTGACTATCACGTGTGTTTCTCAACCGTGGGGTTCTCTGAGATGTTTGACCATGTCTCCAGGGATAACAATTTCAGTCATTCATTTATAATTGAGCATGAACTGCCTTTATGATTGCAGAGCTCAGTATTAAGCTGGTGTTTGTTCTCAGCATGTTGGTGTCACATAACCGCCAAAGTGTGTTGTATCTGCATTATTAGGCTCCTTTCTTTGCAGCATACAAAAATCACCACTGAATGTGAATAGAGTACACTGGATTATCAGGTCCTATCAGATAGCAAAACTAATCCTGCACAAGTTTGTTGAAACATGATGCAGTTTTAAGGTCAGGAACCTTAAAGTATAATCTCAGATAATTTAGGCGCCGTCTGCAGCATAACATTAACTAAGGGTTTTCATTTGGTTGGAAGGTTTTATTTACTTAATGATGTCCTGACGTTTATTAACCCTTCAGCATTATTTTTTTAAACTTTGGAAGTCTAGTCTGTGAAACTACTTGCCATTGTAGTAAAAACAGGCACCTATTGTGCACTATGTACTTTAGAAGGAAGTTTCATTTATAACCACATTCAACTGCTTCCTCTTTTGTACTTGAGACGGTTATGTAATGCAGAAATGAGTAAAAATCTATTTAATATTGTAATTTCTGTTCCTCTTTTGCACTTATATATTGTATTTAATGTCTTATGAATTTATTTTGGTAAAATCATCTGCTATGTTTTGGATTTTTCTTTATTTACAAACTTTTTTTGGTTAGTGTTATAGTTTAGATTAGAGTTTCTCACTTTGTATGTGTGTGGTACTGATTGTAATGTCTGTGGTAAAGACATTAAAAACCACTAAAGCAAAATGTTGCAAGAAGTGCTAAATCAAAAAATGTAGTTAAAAGTAAAAATGTGTTGTTATTTTTTTATTTGTTTATATATACACACACACACACACACACACACACACACACACACACACACACACATACAATTTGCTCAGCATATATAATATTTATATTTTTAATAGGAACCTTTACAATATTGTATTTGTGCATATACATTAGATTAGTCAGTACAGAAGCCAAATCTGGAGCTTATCTAACAAAATAATTTATGATAATGGTCCAAAAACTAGTACACCCAAATTTATATGTTGTAGAAAAATATTTAATGCAAAAAAAATAAAAATAAAGAGAAGCAAAAAAATAAAAAATGTAGATGAAATTTTGTAGGTTGTAATTTTGTTTTGCAATATTTTGCTTGTATTTATTTTGTATTATCTTTCAATTTCTAAATATGTTTTATGACTAAAATATTATACGTATAAATCTGTTTTGTTTAAATGCACCAAAATACATTGCCTATATTCACTGAGAAATGGATAAATATATTAATTTTTAAAGTGGGTCATACCTGCTGACCCTCCTATTTTTCTTGGTATTGTCCTGTATTTTACAGTTCTATCACGCTATCATCCTGTAAAGTTATCTTCTTGTTTTTCTCTTGTATTTTTAATCATTCTATGAAGGGTGGGAATAATTAGCCAATCCTCCCTATACTGAACCACCAGGGGAAACCACTTGCTCTAAAATGTGAGTCTGTTCTGTGGTTTTGTTTAATTTAGGCATGAAAACACTTTGAAATAAATATAAAAACGGTGAGATCCCCTTCCTTATCATTACATGTGCCATTGCACCTCCTATGGAATACTCAAAACAGTCATATTGCGGTGTGTGACTGTCAGCTGACGTGCTCCATAGTAATAGATAAACACTGTTTCCCAAACGGATTCTGTACACTCGATTTGAAGCCAGGCGGAAATCTGGGTTTGGGGTGTGTGTTTGAACAGGGATATACACATAATTAATAATATTAACATCTAAATATGTCGATCTGGGTGGCTTTTTTTTTCAAACAAAACTAATTTTGTTCTAAATGAGCATAAAAAGTTAGGAAAGTAATCAAAATGTTTTCATTATAGATATGTGCATTATTAAAGTGACACCTCTGTTATTTAATGTTAATCAAACTTTTAAATATCCCAATGTTGACAGGTATGAAATGGGGTGTACTTAATAATGCTAAGTACTGTATGTGTTCCCCCCTCTTCCTGAATTGATTTGATTGCTTTCCTTAGTTTAAATCGGTTAGTGTGCCAGCTAGATTGGAAGTACACATTGTTTCACAAACATGAGCTGTTTTTTTTGCTGGTCACATTATCAACATTATATAATCTTCTTATTGATTCCTATCACTGCCTTAACTAGCCGTGGAGCCACTTTAGAGGGCGGCTCTGGCTTTTGGACTGAATTCAACGAATCAAAAGACTAGTCCTTTTTTCAGTGGATAAAACATTTTTTGGACTTTGAACAAGGAGGGCTGTGTTTATGAATTCAGAGACTTCAAATAGAGCTCTTGGTCTGAACCGGGTCTTGTGAGAAACTTTGTGTTACTAAAGACGTTTTTCTTTCATGCATTTCAGATCCCATGGCAGGAACAATTGGTCAAGCCAAAATGAAGTTTTCCAGAATGGTAAGTTTTGTTTTTGACCCTTTTAAATCTTATTTTTTCTCTGGATTATAAAGCCTGATTATTGTTACCCTCTGTTAATAGGTAAACAGCCGCTCATACTCGCGGTTTAACCAGTCTCAGAACCCTGATGGAGATGGCAGCCGTGTGGAGGTGAAGCTGGCTGTTGATGGGGAGGAGGAGGAAATGGATGGAACAGAACTTGGAAATATGCAACAAGAGACATACACAAGATCCACAGGTCGTGCTGAACCATTAAACAAGTACAGGATTCTGGTTTGTGTGGGTGCAGCACTGCTCGTCTTTTTAGTTGGTGAGTTTTTTTTAGTTAGTTCAGTTCACTTTTTATTTACCAGATTAAAGTTTGTTCCATCATTATTGCAGAAAAAGTTTAAAATTTAAATCAGTTCCCATTTTGTTCAATGTATGTCTAATCAGTTGAAGTCTTATTTTTACTTTCATTAACAGTAGTACCCTATTGAATGTGTAATTTTATTGAAAAATATTTTGTTTGTAAATCTTTTAGCGCTTTGTAATTATTTAATAAAGATGTATTATTAAAATATATTGTAATCATGGATTCCCTACAGTGTTCACAGCCTAAAATATTTGATCTAAGTTTTTGTGTATAACAAGCGTTCTTTCTTAAATATCAGATTATATTACTGAATGCTGTACAATGCCCTTGATGGGTGAACATTAGCCAGTGGGGGATTGTCTAGTCTCTCCAGATGTGCATTATTCATGACCATTGTCACTCAAGCATGCAGCTGTGCTGACCCAAAACAGACTTTACAAAATGTAAATCATTGTAATGTTTTCTTTGAATGAGAGAACAGAATAATTTTCACATAATTGTGAATTAAATATTCAAGCCTACAAGACTAGTTACTCAGAAGTTGTATTCAGGCTGATTCAGTGTGAATTTGTGGACCTTATTTCAGTCACCTATTTATTCTCCAAAACCTACTAACCATACATATATTTTTTTTTCACTTCAGACCCCAGAGGGTTAAGGGAGCTCTCAGAGCAGATCTGGTGTTGAAAGTCTTGAAATAATAAGTAAAAAAACTGATTGACAAAACTGATCTGCTCAGACACGTGGACCTAACTTTCTAATTAAAGTCTTTCTGCAGGTTAATCTTCACATACACTAGACCATAGTCGGATTTGATTCAATTTACTGAATTATTTTTTTATTATGCATTAAGCTTTATATATTTTTTGACAATTCTGTGTTTCTGCCACATTTTCATGGTTGCAGAAATCACAGTGTCCTAATTAGGTGACCTTTTATGATGTTTGGCTCATGCAATACATAATCCAGCTTATTAAACAACTGTAAAAATTGTTAAAAACATTTGTTGCCAGTTTATCGTCACAAATACAAAATTCTCTGAGGACCAATCAAAATAAAGTGCTTCAGAGAGCCAAAAGAAAAGATTTCTTTCAAGTCTTCTTATGGTTTTTGTTTTATTAATCTCTGTTTCAGGTCTCCTCATTGGATACTCTGTCCACCGTAAGTCTGACAATAAGTCTGAGCCTTTGGAGACTCCCTGCAGTAAAGAAATTCAAGCTGAAGAACCAGATCCTCCACAATATGAACCCATTGTACCTTCTATTGATTGGAGCGACATTGTTAAGCTTCTGAATGATAAACTGTCATCTAAATCCATTGAAGAACAATTGAGGTATCTAAATCTTTAGATTGTAACTGTGAGCATTATCATAATTGTGAATGAGTAACGTTTTTTAACTGTACGCATCTGTTGTTGTACGTTTCTGACTTCCTTTCCCCTTTTCTTAAAGTGTGTATTCCCAGATTGGCCGTTCAGCAGGATCATCTGTAGATAACAAGTTAGGTGACACAATCCATGATGCTTTCACCAAACTGAACATGGAACCCTGGGTTGATGAGCACTATGTGAAGCTGCAGAATCCAGACAGGTCAGTAGCCACTCCAATAACACTGTACGATGAACTTTCCTGGACATTTTAAGTGTAACATTAAAAATGTAGAAACCAAAACTAACATGACATTGCTTACAGTATTAATTACACTAATCTCAATAAAAACAACTACAGAATGCTAACAAGTGCATAAAGCATGCTAAAACCCTTTGAAAACAAACCCCGCTTTAGAGCATGCACTAAACAAACAACTTTGAACAATGTAAGCTTATCAGAAACATGCAAACAAATTCATAGCTTGCCAGCATTTGTAAACACAGTACAAAAAATATAGCGGTATGCTAAGTAAACCTGCCAAAACAAATTATCATAAAACGTAATTGTATAACTTCAAACTCGGTACAAAAAAAGTGTTAAACTCTGAGAAATATAAGCTACACAGTCACATAAACAAAAGACAGTGCAACACAGGGATGTTAATTAAAGGGGATGGCTTGGTAAGACCTTTCAGGCACAATAAATAACTGTATTACACAATCCATTAAAAATATATATATCGTCACCTTAGAATTATAAGGTTCTATATGACATTTTTTGTCAAAAATGAATTCCTGACATTAGGAATGTCAGTAATTTAAATGACATCTTATTTACATTATGGGGTGTTTTTTGTAAGTTGTTTACATTTTTCATTTAAAAAAAAAATGCTACACACATACTGTTTGCTATGGAATGCAAAAACTTTGAAGCTCAATATTTCAATCATTCAGAACGCAGTTAGAACCCTATAAATCCAAGGTGACGTGTGTGTGTATATATATATATATATATATATATATATGTATGTATGTATGTATGTATGTATGTATGTATGTATGTATGTATGTATGTATGTATGTATGTATGTATGTATGTATGTATGTATGTATGTATGTATGTATGTATGTATGTATGTATGTATGTATGTATGTATATGTGTGTGTGTGTGTGTGTATGTATATATATATATATATATATATAAATAAATAATAAATATTATTTATATTATATATAGCACTTTTCTGGACATTTAAAGAGCTTTACATATTTTCTGGGGGAGGAATCTCCTCATCCACTGCCAGTGTGCAGCATCCACCTGGATGATGCGATGACAGCCATATTGTACCAGGTCGCACACCACACAGCAGCTGATTGGTGGAGCGGAGATAGAGTGAAGTCAATTATGGTATGGAGATGGTTAGGAAGCCATTATGGCCAGTGGGCAAATTTGGCCAGGATGCCGGGGCTAAACCCCTACTGTTTTTTTTTTTTTTTTTTTTTTTTTGAAAAACATCCTAGGATTTTTATTGACCTCAGTTTAATGTCTTATCCAAAAGATGGAGCTCACAGACAGTTATAGAGTCCCCTTCATTATACTGGGGCGTTAGGACCCACACAGTGCCCAGGTTAAGTGCCCTCTGCTGGTCTCACTAACACCGATTCCAACAGCAACCTAGTTACTGACCGCATAGCTTCACCGGTGACCATGTGAGAGTTGCATAGAGCTAGCTGCTGGCAAATGTTAACAAAAAAAATAGATTTGTAGCATGCTAACAAGTGCCTTATGGTCTATAAACCATTCTTAGCACAGTAAAACATCACAGCAACATGCTAATAAATCTACAACATATTCTTACTATTTTTTTTTTACACACACGCACACAAAAAAACAACAACAACCAAGCAACATGCTAAAGCAGCATTTAGTTTTTTTTTCCTATGAATGTTTTTGGATGTTTAATTAATCATTTGAAATGTTTTAACTCTAAAAGCTCCAATCCAAACAAAGTGTGGTTTGGGAACGAGGAGATTGGAAGTCCGAAGGGTTTTCTGGCTTACAGTGAAACAGGACGAAGAGAGGTGAGAGATTCACATCCCACTATTCGGTCACCTTGTCACTGGGTGTCCCTTCATTTGCATTCTCAATTGTTTTCTTATACATTATGTTGACAGGGCAGAGTGGTATACGCCAATTATGGTGAGCCTGCTGACCTGCAAGCCGTCCAGGCCAATGAAGTGAGTCTAAATGGGACTGTGGTACTGATGAGAGCTGGAAGAATCAGCATGGCACAAAAGGTAACTTATGAGAAGCAGATTAGAAGTACAGGAGTAAAAAAAAAAAAGTAAAAGGCTATGTTGATCGAAATGTTTTCTTTTTTGTTTTTAGGTTATGAATGTAGCTAAGTTGGGTGCTGTAGCAGCTCTTATCTACCCAGACCCAGCTGACTATGATGGAATGGATACTGAGCTCTATGGTCATGTAAGTACTTTGAGTTTGTTTTGGGGTCACATGAGACATAAAGCATCATGTCATTTGCATAGCTTTGCATTGACGTTGTTTGCAATCAATTTGCACAAATACTTTAAGTTCACATTTGGTGTGAACCCAGCACATTTCCAAGCCAAAAATTAGATGAACTTTTATAGTATATATATATTTTTTTCAAATTATTCAGCATATCTAGATTTTTTTTTTAAGATGCTAAATATTAAAATATATATATATAAAAAATTAGATTATGATTTATGTACGCTTCCTTATAGAGCAAATGAGTAATATGTATGTGCATGACATTACCTCTTTAAAATGCATTTTTAAGAAAGTAATTTTTTTTTTATTTAATACATCGTGTATTGTAAGTTTGCAAAAATTGTCACTTTGAACCGCCTAAAGATATAACAATTTTAATGAATGTAAACAAATAGTTAAAATGCATGTTTTTGTTTTTAACTGAAGACATTGTCACGTAAATGTTGCTCTGATGTTTTTTTTTTGTATCTCATCATTGATAACAGGTCCACTTGGGATCAGGTGATCCTTACACCCCAGGATTCCCATCGTTTAATCACACACAGTTTGCTCCTGCCAAGTCCTCCGGTCTTCCAGAAATACTTGCTCAGACAATCCCTGCTAGCATGGCACGCAAGATATTAAGGTATTTCATAGGTCTTAGTTTACCTTGATAATTTTTTTATTATCTGTTTTATGAAATTTAAAGATTTTTTTGTGTTCTTAAATCTCTCACAGCAAAATGGGAGGAAGCGAAGTTCCAAGTAAATTTAAGGGTGGCTTCACAAGTTACAAGTTTGGAGATGAGAGTAACAAAGTCGCTTTAAGCATCAATAACAAGCTTGTCGACACCAAGATTCATAATGTGTTTGGAGTCATCAAAGGATACGTTGATCCTGGTGAGTTTCTGCATTTTGATTATATCTGAACTTTTTAAATTTTTTATGTGAAATATAATGTTAGGCATTTAATGATTCATTGACCTCCTGATTCAATCCAATTCAAAGTTTTGATCTCAAAATGAGATTTTCTCACAATTATATATTTTTTGCAAACGTGAGATTGTATATTTTTTTGTACAAAGTGATATTAAACAGTAAATCAAAAGGTGTCCTTTAATTAGGATATTGTGGTATGTTTTATGTAGGAAAACTAAATAAATGAACTCAAAATCAAATAAATTATACTAATAAATTAAATCTCTTCATGTAAACAAAGGAAGGCTTTGTCTGTGCTTTTTTTCATTTACGATTATTTGCAAAAACTGCATAGCAATCTTGAATTGGGAGGCGCTTATGGAGTGTCAAAAAAAAGGCACATTATCATTAAAAAACATTGCCACATTTTGATTTTTAACGTTTAGTGATTGTTTATTCAACAAAATCAAAACCTCTGAAAATCTATTCGTGACCATTTTGATAATGTATAATGTTATTTGAAGTTTTATACGATTAATTGTGCTTGTCTGAATCTGGCAGATCGTTATGTTGTTATTGGAGCACAGCGGGACTCTATGACCTCAGGATATGCCAAGTCTGCAGTTGGCACTACTCTTCTAATGGAGCTTGCGAGGGTTTTCAACGAGCTGAAGAAAGGTGTGTTATCATCTACTGGTGTTCAAATACAGTCCACTGTGTTCAAATGCACTTAACTCCTCGTCCTCCTTACTGTAGAGGGTTTCAAACCCAAGAGAAGCATTGTGTTCGCCAGTTGGACTGCTGGGGATTTTGGTAAAGTTGGAGCAACTGAATGGCTTGAGGTTTGTATCACTGTCATTTGTGTTGGTCTATAAGTATTTTGAAACGCCTTTGTGATTGTTACACATTATTTGTTTTAATAAAGGGATACTGGGCATCACTGGACAGAAAAGCCTTTACCTACATCAGTTTGGATGGTGTTGTTAGTGGTAAGTTTACTGTGCGTGAGTCATGTTTATTGCATTTGAAAACTAAAATTGATAGCTTGTTAAAATGGATTTGCTAATTTAGTCTGCAACAACACAATTGAATAATGAATACCCTGTGTTAACACACAGCATTTAAAGTGACTGTCTTTTCCTCAGATCTTATATGTAGATTAATTTCTTTTACATAAGTTTGTCAAAAATAAATTTAACATGAATGTGTGCTGGAATGCTAAAATTTCAGTCTCTTAATACTCTGTCAATGTTACATTCTCAACAATATTCTGAAATGAATTACATTAATCCACCTTTATACCAAGTCATACCCAAAGTAAAAAAATAAATTTAAGATGTGGAGTATATTAGTATTTTTGTTTTATTATCAAAGTGCACTATAAACATGTATGCACCTTAATGTCCAACGCAAAATCAACAAAAAGTTGCAAATGTTTGAGATGCAAAATTCGGAATTAAGTGCAAAATAATTGCAAAAAATGTAAATAATCGCACTGGTATTTTGCAGCCTGCAGTAAGCAGACAAGAGTGAAGCGCAAGTGATTTACATGTGAAGACATCCTTTGGCCAAATTGGGTGTTTTGTGTGTTTGACGCGTTTCAGACTGCAAATAATTTGGAGCAAACATCTAAAAAATAAAGCAACAGATTAGACAGAAAAGCAAGCAGCTTACAATTATGGAGATTGGTTCAAGGATGACTGACGCTGGACGTGACGTGAAGTAAAGGATTTGTGCTTTACACATATGGCTGGTATTATGGTGTTCATGAAATCGATAAGAGATTTTGTTTAACTCTTTCTCTGCAGTTAACAAGAGAAAACCAAAACGGTTCCCTGTAACAAGTTTTACGTCAATCTGTGTTTTAGATGTATTACAGTAGGTGAAGCCCTGAAGCATTTCCTGAGTGAGGTACATGTCAAATGCTCAGAGGAGCGAATTTTGAAAAAGTTTGTACATAAAAATTAATACAACCATCCATTGGATTAATCTAAATTGGATTAGCTTTAAATCTTGTCTTGACAAGAGACCAAAATAAAGAAGCTTTATTTTTATGATTTGTGTCCTTGTGTCCGATTGCACACACATATATATATATATATATATATTTTTTTTTTATATATATATATCTTAAAATATTTTATTATATATAATTTTTTTTATCGCAAAGTTGGTAACAAATTTCTGGGAATTACCACCACAACATCACTAGGAATCGTGAAAAACTAGGGGGTCTGATTAACATTGTGTAACACTTTTTTTACTGAAAGGATAGTAGGATACAAGCAAACAAATAATTAACTTCATTGGAACCTTCTGTAAAATTACAAATGAAACACCCAAAGCTGTGAGGTGCAATACACAAGACAAACTCTAAGTTGATCTATGAAATTCTGATGGGAACATAGCATGGTGTCATATTGGGCATAATGACGTGTGCCATTAATTAACCAATGTACTGTTACATGAAATACAGAAACATAAAAGGAATATTCTAGACGCAACTTATGTGAATATATTTCAATCATAATATTGCCTTGTTCAGAAATATTAGGTATATATGCTCCAGGATATACCCAGTAATGATTAATATAACCTCATTATATTCTGTAACTTTTGGAAGTTAACTAACTCTAACTCTTACCTGGTCCCTTTCAAAAATTGTTCAATTCTTGGCACTAATTGTTGCAGCACTTTTGAAATATCACATGCTTGCTTTATGCTAAATGACAGGTAAGGATTCCTTGAGAGCATCTGCCAGTCCTTTGTTGCACACCCTTTTGCAGAAGACCCTGGAAAAGGTCAAAGCACCCATGCTAAGTTATGGCTCAGATTTTTCATCCATGTGAGTAAATCTACTCAAATTTTAGTTTTGTCTTTTTGCCATCATGAATGTAAATCTTAATATAATTGTGACTGAATCCGTTTCAGTCTGACGAACATGCAGATGGATGATGGTGCATATCCTTTTCTCACCTTCTCTGGAATCCCATCAGTGTCTTTCAGTTTCATTTCTTCTAGGGTAATCATTTTATTGCCTTGTCATTGTGATTACAGATGTGATTATAAGACAATTGCTGTTGCTTTTAAAATTGAAATAAAACTTCAAATGTTTGCATGCTTATTTATTTATTATTATTTATTTTTTTCTTCTATCAGACAACTCCAGACTATAAATACTTTGGAACCGAAATGGATACTAAAGAGCGACTGGACTCTGTCACTGGTCAGCAAGTGGTTGAGCTGTCTATGCTTGCCGCTCAGGTTGCTGGTCAGATGGCCCTCCGTCTCGTTCATGACCAAATCCTAAGACTGGACGTTACCAAGTATGGCGGTGTGATAGAAAGCCATGTGAAAAACATCATCAATCATGTTAATGTTCTTAAAAGTGAAAAGGTGATTTTTATTTATTTAGGTTTTTTTAATGACGTACAATTAAACCTTACCAGTTTTTTGTCTGCACAATATCCTCACTTCTCTATTCTCTTTTAACAGGTTGAAAAAATTGAAACTTTGTCAACTGAGTGGCTGATCGCAGCAAAGAGCTCCTACAGTCGTGCCGCAACCAAACTAAACAATGACATCAAGAATAGTGACCTGGAAGACATGGAGATGTGTCGCATTATCAATAACCGTATTATGAAGGTGACTTTTTTTTTTTCTCTCTCTTTGTAGGTGATGCACTGATCTTTTTTTGTTCTGTGATTTTATAGGAAATAACTAATGGCCCGTTTTACTGAGTGGTATGGTATGGTTTGGTACGTTTTAATGGCCGTTTCCACTGTCAAAAGTTGCATCACTAGCTCGTGCATAAGCCAGAAGAATGTAAATAAAGGAAGCGCCATTTTTAAATACACAAGTGAGACATTACATTGTAATATATATAAACGCACACATACATATACATACACAAAACTTGTCATCATTTTGATGAACAGCCACAAAGCCAAGAAGAAGAGCAGAATTTATTTGTTTACATGGTCGTCTAAATCGAAAATGGTTTCACTTTCTTGTGTGGGCTCACCGCACGTTTGTATTTGTAATAAAGAACTTTTTGAACTCATGATAATAACGTGCGCATGATTATTAAAGTGCTTCTGACTTTCGATTCTTTCAGAAACAGACCATTGGTACACTTTTGGCAGTGGAAATGCAAGCCTGATAAAGATGATCAGTTCCACTCAGTGGAAACTGGCCATTATAGGAACATTACAGGACATTGCACTGTAGTCACATCAATGTACATCAACTTAACAAACTAGTGATTTAACTAATTATATAATTAAAAAAGATAAAGTAAAAGTGTCTTAACAGTTCGAAATAAAAACAGTGGACAGGTTAGATGAAAAGGCAAATTCACTCTCTGCCTCTAGGTAGCAAATTCACTCTCTGCCTCTAGGTAGCAAATTCACTCTCTGCCTCTAGGTAGCACTTAAAGAACAGCATTAAAAAAGATGTTTTTGTTTAGTGCTAATAATATTAATGTATTGGGAAATAATGATAGTTATAAAGTTTTTGTTTAAAAAATGTTTGATAGAACCTTTCTTCCCCAATTTATTATTTTGTACTTGCAATATTTCATCTCTCAGTATCAGTGATTCAGAGTTTTTGGTTTTGGTTTCAGCCCAGAATTTTCATTTCGTTGCATCTCTACCATAAACAAATGTGTTTTAGTTTCGATCGGTGCATCTTTATTCTTGGGTCTGTCTTGTATCATTGCTAGATTGACTTCAGCTAAGTTCTCAATTCCTTGTCTCCTTTTTGTTTTTCCTCCCCCTCTTTTAAGGTGGAGCATAATTTCCTCTCTCCTTACGTCTCAATAAGAGATTTCCCATTCCGCCACATTTTCTTTGGGAATGGATGGCAAACCGCCACAGACCTGGAGAATTACCTACAAGATGTACGTGACAAAAAGGCAAGCTTCGACATCGACCAGGTGCTAAACAAATTCGCTCTGCTCACCTGGAGCATCCAGGGCTGTGCCAATGACCTGGCAGGAGACATCTGGTCCCTGGACAATGAAATCTAGAGCCTTTCAGTGCTGCATCGCCCAACATCACAATGCTTTTGTGCACAAACGTAATCCGGAAGTACATCCGATTAAATTTTTCCAAGTTTTGACCAAGCCTATAATCCAAAAATGACTTTAATTAAAGTTATTCAATCATATTAGGGACTATAATGGGATATTGTATTACATATTATTAGTATTATTACTGGACTACATTTTACAACATGCAACCAAAGCACAAAGTCTTCATCTTTGCTCCCATTTCAAGGTGCATTATTTCAGGTCCAGAAAGATCTCAAATGATGATTTCAAAATCATCCTTGGCTAATTATAAAGTTGCACATAAGTATAAAGTTTGTCCTCGGCTGATACTTTGGGAATTTAGTCCCTTTCGCACTTCATCTAAACCCCCAATCTCAGCCTCTGTGACCAACTGGGGGCATACTCTATTTATTTCTTATTTATTTATCAGTGACAGTGTTCACTATAAAAGTGTCTTCTTTTTTTTAATTATCGGAAGCAGTGCCTTCCATAATTGTGACGGTTATACTGTCAGTTCTTAAAAGCAGCATCTGCTAACAGAAATACACGTTACCAACAGCTGGCAAAAGAAATGTCTCTTGTTACAAGTGCTTGAGGGAGTACGCTTAAAAAGCACCTGTTTTAATACTTCCTCTTTTATAAAAAAAAAAAGTGAAAGAGCAAGTCATGTCTGCAAACATTATAATGAATCAGACAAGTCAAGTTTCAATTTTGACCAAATTCAAGGACTCAAGCATTTTTGTGACAAAAGCATCTCTGTGTAACAATTATATTTCTATTCTAAAACCATTATCGGGAGCAGTGTCTTCCATAATGTGGCGTGTTTGAAGGTAGTTTTTGCCTACCAGCGTGTCTATATCGAGGGCAGTGATCCTCATATTTCACTATAGGGTGGATTAAATTATCGGGGACAGTGTTTCCCATAGTTTTTGTACATATTTATTTTTCATTGTCGTGGTTTTGTGTGGCTTTTTTTCTTGCTCTGTTATGGTGCATAATCTTGGCAGTTGTTGAAGTACAGTAAGTTTCTTTTCAACGTATCATTGAGCTCAGATTTCACTTCTCTGGCTTGTTTCTGTTTTAAAAGCTTGATGTGGTTTTTGTGTAATTTACACAATTGCATATTTCTGTTACCTGTTATTTTTATAACGCAGGTGTTTGTTTGAAAAGAGGATGTGGTCATATGGTTAGAATGTAATGTAAGACTGATTAGCGTACTGCTGATTTTACATTTATGGTTTCATGTTTGAAGGCACTTCTGATGTTTAACAAGTGTGTATTGCATACTAGTCTGCAACTTTTTTTCTCTCTCTGTTTTCCTTGTGGCACTTACCAGAAAGTTACAGAAAGTTTTTCATCTTTCATAGCATGTTAAAATGTGCATGAAATGCTAATCAAATTAAAGCAAAGTATCTTTAAGCTTTAAGCAGTGTGTGGTGGGTAAATAAAGCTGCTTGGATATTTCAACTTGCGAATGAGCTGTTACTTAGTCAAGCAAGGGTGATTTTCCAAATCTTTATCCGTAAATAGCAGGAATGATCATTCAAGAATGTTGAAGATGTGTTTGGTGAAGGGGTTAGAATCTTTTGGGATCATTATACCTGACCTTTGTGTGCAAAATCTGTCAACCTTACTTTTGCTCTGTAATAAATTCTGACATTGCAAATGTTTATTGTCATTCTCATTGTTTTCTTTCCTCTCAGATTTGTAGTTTTAAGATAATTACTTTGTTTAAAGTTGCACTTAACTGGACAAATATGTTTATTCAACTTTAAAAGTAATTGATTCAAAGCAAATAATATGGCGAGCTTTTGTGCTCTGTGACGTTTGACTTGATATTTATCACATACAGCAGCCCAAGAATTCAAATAAAACACTGCTATGAAAACTTTTACCTCAAATTTGTAGAAGTCAATTTTATAACACATTTATAACACTTTTTTTTGCCCAAGTTTGTCATATTTATTAATTTTGTAACAATTTTCTGAAGAAGGATTTTTAAAGCTGTGAGATTTTAATAATAATAAAAAAAACTTGAGAACCTGCGAGATTAATGCTAAGAATTGTAGGCCTATGTATCACTTTTTTTGGTAATTTGTCCTCCAGAATTGTGAGTAATTTTGCAATTATGACTTTTTTCAGAAGATAAAATATAAAACTTTTTTTTTTGTGAGATACGTACCCACAACAACAAAGTAGCTCTGGACGATATGGCAAAAATGCAATCTTGATAATTATTTTCCATATTGAATGATAAAAATATATATTTCAATAAGTTGTTACGGCTTCCAGATTTAAAACATTGCCCCAACAATGACTTAAGCCACAAAAATTAGAGGGTCCATTTAATGGCATAAAATTTTCGATGGCTGAAAATTTGGTACATCTCTAATATCAACATTTTTAGGTTTCTATTGTTGCACATTTCTGCTGTGCGATTGGCTCTTAGATCAATATAACAGTTAAGAGTAAAATGGTCCAGAGCTTATCGTTGTTATTGACGTAAATTTGATCGCGATTCAATATAATATCGTTTATCGGCCCAAACCTACATAAAGTGAAAACTGTCAAAAAAAAATACGCCTTTCTTTCTTTTATAGCAGAAATTGCTTTCCATAACATGTAGCCCCCTCTAAATATAGTTAACTTCTAAATAATTTCATATTTCACAAGTACAAATGCAACATATTACTATTTGTTCTATTTTAGCTATATTTACCTTGAAGTCCCACTCAAAAATCCTATAATAATAATAAAGACGCCCCCACGCGCTCGTTTGTATAAAAGCGTACTGTCGCTTTAAGAAACAGATCAATCCTTGACTCTCTACCGAGCCAGAAGACGGATTACAGCCGCTGAGGAGCTAATTCTCTTTATTAAAAATGCCTATTTAATAGGTAAGTTAATCGTTTTACACTGTCGTCTGTTTCAAATTATGATAAAGGTGAAATTGTGGACGTTTGAAATCAGTGCAGGTACTGTGCTTTGCGCTATCCATCCCAATGACTGCATCACTACAGAGCCTGTGTGTGTTCGGGTGGTATAAAACCGGCCTTTAATGCCTGCTTGGTTGATCTTACTGTCTATATATAGAGAGGTAACCTACGGTTGTTTGAATTAGCTTGTTATTGATGTCCGACTCTGTGACAGAGTATAAAGAAGATGGAGGCGGTGTTTTAAAACCTAGCGCGCTGCCTACCTAGGCGGCATTCATGGGCCTCAGTTCACTTCAAACGTGCTTATGCTTTTATAAATGCTGTCCAGAGAAACTCACTGTTTTCATGTTTTCTTTAAGACCAGTACTAGTTTATATTAGCTTACTGTCTATTAATAATACTAGAAAAAATAATCCTATAGAAAAATAATAGAGCAGCGCAGACGTCACGGGTGAATTATATTCAATAAAATGTAATTCATTAAAAATTCGGTCACTAACAACAAACTGCTATACCCCTGGTCAATATCCCAATTATAGGCGGTTGCCAGGTGCATAAATATGGTGTGAACAGAGATGTGTGATGGGGATTTAAATAATAAAATAAAATAAAATAACCACAGAACAGTGTTACTTTAAAGAAAATTAAAGTTACCTAAAAAATATAAAATATTTAAAAGTGATATACATTTTTTGATTAAATGTGGATGCCCAATAATAAACTATTATTTACATTTCCCAATTAATATGATTCTTACACCAAAACAGCAGTTTGCTGTTTGTTTAAACTAGTTATCGAGGTTATTTTGCAACAACTTACTTGTTTTATGTTTAATTTACTTAAATTAATTATTTTCCTAATTATGTTTAAATACAAATGGAGTGTGTTAAGTAAATTTTAAGTAAATTTAAAGAAAAAAAAACTAAAATTGAAAAATACATACCCACACACACACGCACACACATATATATATATATATATATATATATATATATATATATATATATATATGTATATGTGTATATGTGTATATATATGTGTGTATATATATATATACACACACACAATAACTTAAGACTTATGTTTACACAAAAACAAAATATGATTTACTTAAAAAAAAAAAAACTTTAAACAAACAAACACAGATCCACAAAAAAGATGGATGAGCTTATGGATGTCAGTCCAGCAGGTAGTAGTAATAATATATATATGTATACACTCACCGCCCACTTCATTAGGTACACCTGTCCAACTACTGGTTAAAGGAAATTTATAATCAGCCAATCACATTGCAGCAACTCATAGCATTTAGGCATGTAGACATGTTCAAGATGATCTGCTGCAGTTCAAACCGAGCATCAGAATGGAGAAGAAAGGTGATTTAAGTGACTTTGAACATGCATGGTTGTTGGTGCAGGACGGGCTGGTCTGAGTATTTCAGAAACTACATATCTACTGGGATTTTCATGCACAACCATCTCTAGGCTTTACAGAGAATGGTCCAATAAAGAGAAAATATCCAGTGAGCGGCAGTTCTGTGGCAGCAAATGCCTTGTTGATGCCAGAGGTCAGAGGAGAATGGCCAGACTGGTTCGAGCTGATAGAAAGGCAACAGTAACTCAAATGACCACTCACAATAACTGAAGTATGCAGAAGAGCATCTCTGAATGCATCCAACCTTGAGGCTGAGGGGCTACAGCAGCAGAAGACTAGGTGCCACTCCTGTAAGCTAAGAACAGGACACTGAGGCTACAATTTGTACAGGCTTACCAAAATTAGACAATAGAAGACTGAAAAATGTTGCCTGGTCTGATGAGTCACGAAGGGTTCTGTGACGAATGGTAGGGTCAGAATTTGGCATCAACAACATGAAAGCATGGATCCATCCTGCCTTGTATTAATGGTTCAGAATGGTGGGGGTGGTGGTGGTGGTGTAATGGTGTGGAGGATATTTTCTTGGCATACTCTGGCCCCATTAGTACCAATTGAGCATCGTGTCAATGCCACAGCCTACCTGAGTATTATTGTTGTCCATGTCCATCCCTTTATGACCACAGTGTACCCATCTTCTGATGCCTACTTCTATCAGGATAACACCATGTCATAAAGTGCAAATCATCTCAGACTGGTTTCTTGAACATGACAATGAGTTCACTGTATTCAAATGGCCTCCACAGTCAACTGACCCAATCCAATAGAGCACCTTTGAGATGCAACTGCGTGATGCTATCATGTCAGTATGGATCAAGATCTCAGGAATATTTTCAGAATCTATGCCACGAAGGTTTAAGGCAGTTCTGAAGGCATAAAGGGGTCCAAACTGGTACTAATGAGGTGTTCCTAATAAAGTGGCCAGTGACTGTATATTATATATAACTACTGGCTTGTACTTAACCAAACATCATACATTATATAGCTGATTTGCCAGCTCAAAACAGTCTATTTGTTTATGTAGTGTGTTGATCACTGATCACTTTCCACACATCCTTTAAAATATATGTGCAGAAGTGTTTGTAACAAGGTTATAACGCTCACATCCATCCACAATAACTCATCTCCTTTTATCCCACTCTGTTTTTCAGCTTGACATTGACTAGCCAGAAGCAGCATTGATTTGGCTCATATGTGCCTGTCATGGCCCTGTCAAACACTGGACCACCGGAGGACCATCTCTGACATCAGACGCCATTTAGTGGACATTTTCTGAAGGCCTCAGGAACAACCTAAAGCTTGGTAAGACCACTTTACCAGGAATGACTAGCTGGATGAATAAGCAAGAATGGCTATAATTAGATTGCTCAACTACAAATGTCCTCAATAATATACTGGATTGTTTAAACGGGTCAAAAACTATTAGGGTGTTGTTTCTATATATGCTGTACCTCGTCATCATTGTGTCAGAAGGTGTACATTTGCACCCCTGCCTCATATATAGATGTCCTATATTAGAGTTTTCTTACTGTGTTGAGGATCTCCAGAAGGGACAGAGATGCCATGTGGCATGTGTGTGTGCTCCATTTAGTCATGCTCTAGTTGCCAACGGTTACTGCGTCATCGTCATAGTTACGATGTGCTACCATCGCACTCGGCGGGTGGTTTCTGATGGTTTTGAATGCTGTTTACAGAGAAAGCGTGGATAAATATGTTTGAGCACGTCAGTGGACTGTTTTAGTTCATGGTGCTCGGACAGCTCACATGGTTTTTGTCACACTTACTGGTGTGGGAGCCTGCATAATTCATCAGTGAATGGAGCAACATGGCCTGATTTACAGACCTGTTAGTGGATGTACATGGATGTACAGCAGAATCAATGACATTCTGACATCATCAATCTATCAGTCTGCTGTATATTAGTCTATAATTCTCTGTTCAACCACCCATCCATCCATACGTCTGTCTTTATGATTGTCTATCCATCTCTTTATCAGTCTCTAGTATACTTGTCTATAAGTGTTCATCCAGGGTGTCACGGTGGCGCAGTGGATAGCACAATCGCTTCACAGCAAAAAGGTTGCTGGTTCGAGCCCCGGCTGGGTCAGTTGGCATTTCTGTGTGGAGTTTGCATGTTCTCACCGTGTTGATGTGGGTTTATTTGGGTGCTCTGGTTTCCCTCATAGTCCAAATACATGCACTACAGGTGATTTGAATATGCTAAATTGGCCGTAGTGTATGTGTGTGAAAGAGTGCGTATGAGTGTTTCCCAGTGTTGGGTTACGGCTGGAAGGGCATCCGCTGCATTAAAGATATGCTGGAAAAGTTGGTGATTCATTCCACTGTGGCAACGCCTGATTAATAAAGGGACTTAGCCAAAAAAAAAATGGATGAAGAGTCTATCTATCTATCTATCTATCTATCTATCTATCTATCTGTCTGTCTGTCTGTCTGTCTGTCTGTCTGTCTGTCTGTCTGTCTGTCTGTCTGTCTGTCTGTCTGTCTGTCTGTCCGTCCGTCCGTCCGTCCGTCCGTCCGTCCGTCCGTCCGTCCGTCCGTCCGTCCGTCCGTCCGTCCGTCCGTCCGTCCGTCCGTCCGTCCGTCCGTCCGTCCGTCTGTCCGTCCGTCCGTCCGTCCGTCCGTCCGTCCGTCCGTCCGTCTGCCTGTCTATTATGAATGGTATTTTAATCTATAAGTAACCACCCACCTCTCCGTCCGTCCGTCCGTCTGTCTGTCTGTCTATCTATCTATCCATCTATCTATCTATCCATCCATCTATCCGTCCACCCACCCACCCATCCATCCATCCATCCATCCATATATTCATTCATCCATACATCCATACATCCGTCTGCCTGTCTATTATGAACGATATTTTAATCTATAAGTAACCATCCATCCATCCAACTATCCATCCAACCAACCATCCATCCATCCATCCATCCATCCATCCATCCATCCATCCATCTATCTATCCATCCATCCATATATAGCTTTATTTCCAACCCTTGCAGGACCCAATACAGCATTTATACCATTTTCACTGGTGTAATACTGTGAACAATTAATCCAGCCAATAACTATTTTAGAACACCTAAAGATCCATATTAGACTGAGTGTCTTTATAAAAAATAATAATATTAATAATTAATAATATTAATAATAATATAATATACTTAGACATAGCTTGACATTTGAGCTTAGGGGAAGGCTCAAAAATAAATAAATAAATAAATAAATAAATATATATATATATATATATATATATATATATATATATATATATATATATATATATATATATATATATATATATATATATATATATACATAATTTTAATCATTTATAATTTTATAGCTTTTGTTTTTATTAATAATTATGATATTATAGGATGAGTGGGCTATATAGATGAAAAGTTTGTATCTTATCTCTCATTCCATTCATTTCCTGTCAATGGCCACAAATAAAACCAGAAGGTCAATCTGATTAGTACTATAAATAATTAGTAGTAATATATTGACATACATCAATCTAACACTTACATTACATTGTGTGTGTGGTCCTGGTATTCCTTACATTGTGGGGACTAACAGTTTTGAACCTTGTTGGGATATTTCTTTGGGTCCCATAAGGAAAATAACTCATAAACAATATAGAATTAATTATTTTAAATATATAAAACTGCTAGTTTTCTGTTACCATTGGTGAAAGAGAATAGAACATACAGTTTGAACTGCATAAAAATCACCTAATCTGTGTGAAGACATCCTAAACCCAATGAATGTGTGTGTGTGTGACCAGCACTTAAAGCACATTCTGTATTGTACAGCAATACTGCTTTTAAGGATTGCGTTTTGAGTTCTGCCGCACTCATACTGCAGCTCACAGTGACTCAGCAAGAGAAAGAAAGATGCTGCTTCTGGAAAACAAAACAAAAAAACGCTTATAATAGACGGAAATTCCATACCGCTAACAAGCTGTGACTTTTTTTATTCATTTGACTTAGACTGAGGATGGATGCTGACATGTTTGGAAGACAGGACAGGACTGCAATTAACTGGATTGAAGGCACTGTTTGCACTGATTCGTTCATCCAGTAGGGCAGGAATAATCTTTCACACTAATTCTCTGGAGGCTGGGCAGAGGTTTTGCAACAGAAGACACGGTTTCACATGAGACTGCAACTATTGTTTGGCGAGGAATCAGATTACACACTCCATTCTTGACTTCAGAAGAGAGCTTCTGATGGGAAGGACGAAGAATCAGACAAATATATCTTACAGATTAGAGGAGACGCTCCACAGTTTACTGTGAAAACAGGACACACCCCGAGGGAGTGCGTTTCACACACACTCTCTGAACGCATTGCTTTCCATGTAGAAATGGCGGCGCTCTCAGATTACCAACGACACTATAATGTAAAAGACGAGGTAAAGGATAAGTGTTTTCTCTACACAGAAAAATGCTGTATTTTGTCTTATTTGCCTTATCTGAATATATTGAGGAAAATAAGATTGTTTGTGTTTTAAAAAGCAAAGATGTGTTGTGTTGTGTTATGTGTGTGCAGCCGGACATGCAGTCTGATGAAGGTACAGAGTGGCTCTTGGAGCTGCTCACAGATGTGCAGCTTCAGCAATATTTCCAGCGTATCCGTGATGAGCTCAATGTCACGCGTCTCTCACACTTTGACTATGTCAAAACAGAGGACCTCGAAAAGATTGGCATGGGCCGACCAGGTAAAGGGGGTAGCATGGGTAGCAAGTGCTTAAGAAGATTTGTTTATTCAAATATTACCTTTTATATTAAAAAGTTATTTTTATTAAATATTTCAAAAACTTTTTGTCATGTTTTCATTTTTTTTTGACTGCACTCTATATAATAGACTGCAATATAATATAAAGTACTGGAAACAATTATTTTCAGTTATTGAACATATTTTTCTTTTTGGTAAAATAAGTGTAATCTAGAGGCCTTTGCCTTTCATACAAGCCCAAATGATCAACTAGAAGTCAAGTTATTATTTGTTTTTCCTAAAACTTGGATAGGCAACAAGACATTTGTTTGGTAGTGTATGTATATACAGTTGGGCTGAATTATTAGCCCCCCTTTGATTTTTTTAAAAATGTTTTTCAAGCGATGTTTAACAGAGCAAGAAAATTTTCACAGTATGTCTGATAATATTTTTCTTCTCGTTTTATTTCCGCTAGAATAAAAGCAGTTTTTTAAATTTTTTAAGAACCATTTTAAGGACATAATTCTTAGCCAGTTTAAGCTATATTGTTTCGATAACCTACAGAACAAACTATTTTGTTTAGAAATGTGTTGAAAAAATAAATGCTCTCCAATAAACAAAAATTGCGGGAAAAAAAATAAAGGGGGGGGGGCTAATATTTCTGACTTCAACTGTATATGTGTGTGTGTCAATTCAAAATTTGAATTAAAAAAGAAGTAATTATTTTATTTAAGCATTTTGAGTTAAGAGTTCATAGTGCTTGTACTTCTTAACATTGTATTTATACATACCAATGTCATATTTTTTCCAAAGCTGTAATATAATTCTTCTAACTAATTGTGTTATATTATTTAGACCCTTTTTTGTTTTATTATGGCTCTACAGGTCAAAGGCGGCTGTGGGAGGCAGTCAAAAGAAGGAGGGCAATGTGCAAACGGAAGTCATGGATGAGCAAGGTATAATGCGCATCTTAAAAATAAAAAAAGTGCAAAAATGTATGATTTCCTGTTACTGCAATTCTGAGAGTTCTAAAGCTTGACGAGAACACTTATAGAGGCGTAATGGTATACAAAATAACAGTAACATATCCACATAACTATGATCTGATGCTTTCTCAGCTGCTGTTTTTTTTTCCTACCTTTTATTTAGTTATTAAGAGAAACGTGCTCACATTATATTTAGATGTTCATCAAAACTGCTCTCAGCATAATGAATGGCATCTGGATGTTTATTATTATTATCAGCATATCACTGCAAAACAATTTCCAACTGAATTTGAGTTTCTTTTTGATAACCGTAGTTTAAGGATGGAGTTTTTGGGTGTATGAGGATCTGGTGTATCTGTAAAGCAGAGGCAGGTGGAATCACCCTCAGCCGTAGTCTCTGTGTTTGGGTCAGCAGGTGTTTACCGGGAAGCGCCCTGACTCCGATTCGCAGACTCCAGAGGTTTTCCGCAGCTCGTCCCCTTCATCGGCTCCTCCGGATGGCCAGCCGACGGATCTCACCTGCCTCATCAGCGAACGAGACCTCACTCTCTATGAAAAACTGGGGGACGGATCTTTCGGAGTGGTGAAGCGTGGAGAATGGCAGGCCCCCTCTGGAAGAGTGGTAAGAATGAATAGAAATAAGCAGCAATAGTAGTGTTGATCTTTCAATATTAGAGAAGTCAAAGATTTTAATCAGAGCTGCATGATGCTAGAAAAATATGTGATACTGTTGTTAAGTATAGACGAGGTAGTGGCGAAGTAGGTAGTGCTGTCGCCTCATAGCAAGAAGGTTGCTGGGTCGCTGGTTCAGACCTCGGCTCAGTTGGCAGTTCTGTGTGGAGTTTGCATGTTCTCGCTGCGTTTATGTGGGTTTCCTCCGGGTGCTCCGGTTTCCCCCACAGTCCAAAGACATGCGGTACAGGTGAATTGGGTAGGTTAAATTGTCCGTAGTGTATGAGTGTGTGTGTGTGTGAATGAGTGTGTGTGGATGTTTCCCAGAGATGGGTTGCGGCTGGAAGGGCATCCGCTGCGTAAAAAAAAAGTTAATTCATTCTGCTGTGCCGACCCCGGATTAATATAGGGACTAAACCGACAAGAAAATGAATGAATGAATGAATGAATATTCTACTTTCTACTATTCTACTACCCCCTCCACCTACCAAAAATAGTAAAACATTTTAAAGAAAATAATTTTTTGCTGTCTTAAATGACTATATTATTCATCGCATTAGATCAATAAATGACTCTATTAAATCATTCATCATTGACTCATGGAACTTAACATCTATAATCCATTTCCAAAATAAGATAAAGCGTAGTGTTTCTTCCTGTGCTGTAGCTAAGCGTGGCTGTGAAGTGCCTGAAGACGGACCTGTTGGACCAGGGTGAAGGTCTAGATGACTTCATACGAGAAGTTAATGCCATGCACTCCTTGAACCACCACAATCTCATTCGTCTGTATGGGTGCGTCCTCACACACCCCATGAAGATGGTGAGGACCAAGAAGCACTAGAAGGCCATTCTGTGTCTTCAATAACACATATATGTTCTTAAATAACTTACTTTTATTGATTAGTAGTATTTTAATTGGTAATATTAACTAAATCTAATGTGTTTAATGTTTTTATATTGTCTGCTTTCAATTAAAGGCAAAGTTTGAATTGTTTTGTTTGTCTTTGTTATCACAAGATGTTTTTTTCCGTCTATATAGTTTCTGTTACTTTTATTTTAGGTTATTTTGGTGTAATGAACTGCGTTTGATCTGTTCAAATGTTTGTAAAATTAGAGTAAGAAATTTTATTTTCTCAGCTTTTGCGATATGTTTTATAATACTTTTCTCTGCATCGACTTGATAAAATTGTTCATTTAGAAAAAAATATTTCAAATGAGTGATGTTTATTTTTAATGTGCTATAATCATTAAATAATACTTTAAGCTACGTTTTAAACACTGATATATTTCTTGAACAGCTAGCCTTTTCTGAAGGGTCATGTGACACTGAAGAATAAAGTAATGTCTACTAAACCTTTAGCTTATTTTTAATATGTATTAATATTTTAAATTGTAAAAATATTTCACAGTACTACTGTATTATGTCCAATATTAGTAATACAATATTACTGTTTTTACTATATTTTAGATAAATGTAGTCTTGGTGAGCATATCAGAATTTCTAGCATACTATTGTAGATGATTTCTGTTTCTTTCAAATCATTTAGTCTTTTTTGCATTTCAGGTGACAGAACTTGCTCCATTGGGTTCTCTGTTGGACCGCCTGAGGAAACGTCAGGGTCATATACTGATATCAGTGCTGTGCCACTACACTGTTCAGATCGCCTGTGGGATGGCATACCTGGAGTCTCGACGCTTCATTCACAGAGACCTGGCTGCACGCAACATCCTTTTAGCCTCCAATGACCTCATCAAGATCGGTGACTTCGGCCTGATGAGGGCCTTGCCTAAAAATGATGATCATTACGTTATGCAGGAGCATCACAAAGTCCCTTTTGCATGGTGAGAAGTAATATTTACCACTGTCTAATTTGTATTAATTACCCTGAACTATGTTAATACTGTATTCTGTGGTCTTTGCAGGTGTGCTCCAGAGAGCCTGAAGACCCGTACCTTCTCCCATGCCAGTGATACCTGGATGTTTGGAGTAACATTGTGGGAAATGTTCACTCACGGGCAGGAACCATGGGTTGGACTCAATGGTAGTCAGGTACACGCACATACAGTACCTGACCTTAAACATATTTTTCTGTAATTAAAATTGGTGTGACATTTGTCTATGTTCTCTTCTGTATAGATCCTCCATAAGATCGATAGAGAGGGAGAAAGGCTTATCAAACCAGAGGACTGTCCTCAGGACATTTATAACGTCATGCTGCAGTGCTGGTCACCCAAACCTGAGGACAGGCCGACATTTGTGTCCCTTAGGGACTTCCTTGTGGAGGTATGGTAGTGCTAATAGTAACATCAGAGAGCAGTTATACTGATTAAAATGTCTTTGTATTAATAAATGTATTGCACATACATCAGACAGTCAAAATATGTATTGAATTTTAATTAATGTCTTGTTTGCTAACAGACAATGCCAACAGATATGAGGGCACTGCAGGACTTTGATGAGCCAGACAAACTTAAAATCCACGCCAATGACATCATCACCATCATTGAGGGCAGGTAAGGACTTTTTTTGGACATCAGGGGCCTCATGTATCAACGCTGCGTACGCACAAAAACTTTGCGTACGCCAGGTTTCACGCTCAGAATCGCTCACGTTTGGATTTACTAACAATGAACTGAACGTGGGAATGTGCGCAGCTCCACGGCAGCTTTATGCCTGGCGTACGCACATTTTTTTGTGCGTGTCTGTTTTATTTCCATTAGCGACTCCTAGAGGCAGTTGTGTTAAATTCCTCTCTACAAAGTGTCTGAGCCTTGCAATGGCAGCTGTATGAGACGGGTTCATCTAGCAGGTATATAAGGTTTCCATACCATACATTTGACCAGCTAAACATTAAAGCACAATTTGCAGCGGTCGCCTGTTTTCCCAGTGTAATCTGAGCTATCTACTGCACACACATTGCTATAAAGACACTATCTAAAGATGAATTTGCATATGTGAATCAGAAACATTTCCATTCAATAAATGTGCAAATAAAATATGATGCACAAACTTATTGATGATTCCTACTTGTCTTTCTCATGATAAATAGTTGGCAAAATCTAATATGTAGCGGGGGAAAAAAGAAGAAAGAGTTCATCAGACGCTGGATTCGAACCGAGTTCATGCTTGAACGTGTCAAAACATGTTGACATGCGTCTTACGAGCTGCGCCACTGATACTGTTAAGAGCACTTCAACATTTTACACCTACAAACCACACTATTTCTTTTTTAATCCACTCAGTGCGATGTTCAGACCCAACTGTGTTAACCCCATCAGCTAAACTCTCCCACTCTATTTTTTTCTTTTGTTGTTAATTCCGGAGAACAAACTTGCAAATAACATCGTTTTTCTCCGGTCTACCTCCGAAAGCAGCACCTCAAATTCACATTCTGTTCAAAGTTTCTCTTTTTGCTTGCTTTTGCCATTGCTTTTTCATTGGGTTTTGCCAAAGTAGAGTCATTAGCATATTCATACGGGGGAGGAGACAGGGAGGGGTTTTGTGCTCGTGCATGTTGGGCTCAGTTTCACGTTCATTCGGATGTACAAAAGAATATGCGTGAGATTCGGCGTACGCAGTGTTTCATACATCTGATTTTTTTTCTGTGCGTACGCAATGTTTTAGTATGATTTCCACGCAAGTCTTAGTACATGAGGCCCCAGGTGTGCCCATGTAAATAGTAGCCTCATTTTGCTGTTATTTTCTGACAAGAGTGTCACCGATGTCTGTTATGCTGCTGTAGCTTATTTGTTTCAAGGTTACATGTTCTGTATGTTCTAAGATGCTTTTCTACAGGCCTTACTTGTAACAAGTGGTTATTTGAGTTAATGTTGCCTTTCTATCAGCTCGACCAGGTTATGACATCACTAAGACATTTTGCTCACATAACAGATGGCCACTGAAAATTTTGTCTTCTTTGGACCAATTTTGTAAACATTAGAGATGGCAGTACATGAAAATCCAACTTAGCCTCATTGTAAAAACATAGCCCTATATTCATTTCTGGAGATTGCGAATTATGTAGCCACACGTTCGTATGGCTGCATTTTGTCTTTAAAACGAACAATATGGCGTGGTATGACGATGTTCCTTTTCCCGCTTACCTACTGAAAGATTACCTCTGGATGAATGGCTTTCCCACTGTTACCAGTTTTTGCAGTTAGCTCGCCATATACATCGGCGGACTTCAGATGCAGTTAGTCATTCAGTCAGTCGACAGTGGCCTCTTGTGGATTTACGCGAGAACAGCAGGCACGAATGGCACTCGTGAGAGAATTTCGGGATCTCAAAAATCATACACAGTGGCTTCTGGTGGACTCGTGAAAACAAAATCTGCAAAAAAACATAGCTCCCAGGATCTAATTGGTGCTCTCCTGAAATCTATATAGTAGTACATTTTCAGAATGAGCCTGAAGTACTTCAGCATTTTTTTAAATACTCAGGCCAGCCTGTCTGGCATCAACAACAATGATGTTCAGAGTCACTAAAATCACCTTTCTTCACCTCTCCAAGGCTTGCTTTAATCTTCAGCAGATTTTCTTGCTCACGTCTATATGCTGAAATGCATTGAGTTGCTGCCATGTGATTGGCTGATTATACATTTATGTTAATGAGTGCTGAGTGCCTTTATATGTTAGCGAGGGGGTCAAAGCAATCTTTAAGTTTATGCAACAGATATAAAAACAGAACAGCACAATCTATCAATCTTTACTACATGTTCTATAAACGTTTGCACTATTATTAAAGCTTATTTTCTGTGCTGCAGAGCAGAGAACTACTGGTGGAGGGGTCAGAACAGACAGACCATGAAGGTGGGACAGTTCCCCAGGAATGTAGTGACCTCTGTGGCCGGTCTATCTGCTCAGGACATCAGCCGACCTCTCAAGCACAGTTTCATCCACACAGGCCATGGAGACACTGACCCACACCGTAGCTGGGGTGCCCCTGATAAGATTGATGAGTAAGATGCAATAATCATACACATCTTTTGCTAGAAGGCCCCATGGATTTTTTCTTAACATGTGTTTACCACTAGAGAGAAGCAATGTATTGTTCTAAACCAATAGTTCTCCACTGTTTTTTACTCTCTTGTCCTACACAACACTGTTGTCCTACACAACTCTGTATTCTAAGGCTGTCTATTGCAAAATAGGATATTTCTTGTATTCTAGAAATTATATTTATTTGATTATGCACCTCTTATACTTTGTGTGCAGTCTGTACCTTGGTAATCCCATGGATCCTCCAGATGTTCTTGGGTTGGATTCAAATACAGCCAAGCCCACTAAGCTACCAAACCGGGCTAAAAGTAAGCAAATACTTGAAGTTTTTGAGCTGGACTTCTTCAGACGCTCTTATTCCGATTTGTTCTGTTCTTCAAATTCATTCACTCCGTTACTGTCTTTTATTTCTGATCTTTACCTGCTTTAACTTTTGCATCAGAACAACCTCCTCCTAGACCTCCTAAACCAGCTGTTCTTCTTAAGAGTAAGATCAGTTTCTATTCTTTTGTGAATCACTGCATAACAAGAACAATTTTTCTAAAATGTTGCCTAATGGCTTATTCACAGAACCATTTTATGACTCTGTCCTGGATGATGATGATGATGATGATCTGATAGTGACAGGTGTGAAGAAGCTCTCACTTAAGACTCCTACATACCTGGGTTTACGCCTTCGCCCATGGGAAAGCACTAGTCCGAGTGACCGCCTTTGTGAAGTCTCCCTTATTGACTTTGGGGATGATAGTTTCAGCTCAACATCGCCCTCTCCCATTACCGAGATTCCCAATCCTAGCACAGCGAAACCACCTTTGTCCTATGCCGCTTCCATCTTGGATATGGCACCACCCCAGAGCCCAAATCAAGCCTTACCCAACCCCATGCACCCTACTCCTGTGGTAGACTGGGACATGCGGCCCCTGCCTCCTCTCCCGGCATATGATGAGGTGGCCATTGAGTGTGCAGAGCAGGAAGACATAGAAGTGAGCTCCATAAATGCATCTGCAGCCCAGGAAGACGCTGTATATGAACAGACCCCATCAGAAGAAGACATTAATAATGATGGTAAACGGAACGTGGAGGATAACCTCTTTCTTCCATCAAAGCGTCCTGAGGAATCCCACTCGTTTTCACAATCAGCAGATATCTTCAAGGAACTTCAAAGAGAGGTGATGGTAAAGCTTCGGGTCCCTCCAAGTGGGCGTTCTCTACCTTCTTCACCCCTCCCGACTCCTTCAGTTCTCACCCCACACCGTCAGATAATCCTTCCATCCTCTTATGAGGACAAGCCTCAGATCCCTCCAAGAATCCCTATTCCACCTATGCGGCCTTCAAAGAGGACAGGAATATATGGCAGCAGACTGTCTGTTTCTCTTGGAGAAAATGAAGATGGGAGCCGTTGTCCACCCCAAATACCCCCGCGGGATCATGCTCTATCTCAGCCCAATTCTCGGGCACCAAGTCCTATGGTGCCTCAAAGCGGCTCTCCTCAACAAAGATCCAGCCTGTGCTGTGTTGGATCATTGGGCTCCTGCTTGTCTCCATCATCATATTCTTCTGCACCATCCAGCTCGTCCACCACATCTTCCACATCCACCACTACTAGTTCTCAATATGGATCTACTGAAGTGAGCCAAAATCCAGCCAAGAGTCCTTGCATCCTGCCAATTGTTCACGGTGGTGTAAAGGCCAGCAGCACTCATTACTACTTGCTACCTGAGAAACCGGCATACTTGGACAAGTATGAGAAGTTCTTTAATTCGGAGGGAAACGATGAGAAAAGGACTACAAATATGGCTACTGTGAGACCCATGGTTCAGCAGCAAGGCAACAAATCCAATGCTTCCCCTAGCCACACCAGTAACAGTGGGACCTCCAGCAGTCTGGCTTGGCCAAGCAGCTCCCAAGCAGGTTCTTACAGCCGTGTCACGCTGCAACAAGTGAGCAATCTGTTACCAGACATATGGGATGGGTAATATCATATTGTTTGCAGTATACAATTAAAACCACAACAACAATGTATTACTTATTATAATAATAATGATCAAAACTATAACTGGTCTGTGCAATGACCAAGTTAAGGTTGATTTATACTTCTGCATCAAGCGCACACAGCCATGCTCCACACAGTAGTATGCTCCGGCGCGGCCTTCGTGTGGTGGCATAGCCCTTGCTGTGGCCAACGCGCACCTCTCAATAAATTTTACTACATGTTGCAACGATGCGTAGCGCAAGCTAAGTGATTGGTCAGCTTGGTAGCACTTGACGATTGTGGGCGGGACAGAGAGCCGCGCATATGGAGCAAGTTTTTAAAAGTGTCGAGTTGCGTGAAAGAGCTCCAGGTGGAAAGTTATGTTTTGTGTTTACCTTATGATTGAAGTTGTTGCACGTCTGCCAGTTCCTGCCTCAAAATCAACGAGTATGAGCCACTTGTTCATTATGGTAGCGCCCAGAAAAAACAAAATACCTGCAAAAAAACGCAACACAGAAGAACATAAAAACTGACTGCCAGCTTGCATTTTGGATTGTTATTGCAGAGCAACACAAACAGCAGGCAGAAGTATAAATGCAGGGCAACACGCAAGGCATGCGCCATGGCTCACGGTGATCTCTAGACGCAGAAGTATAAACCAGGGTTTACTATTATTATAGTAGTACATGTGTGATAGTTTTGCGTGTTTGAGCCTGTTGATATAAAATATATTTACTGGCATATTTTATACTAAATTTACTTCATAACACTGGTCAAATGTTTGAAATAACAAATTTTTGTGACCAGACATGGTTTAATATCACAGAATGAAGAAGAAATCATACTATTTCATAGTTTTTAAATACGGTGATGAAGACTAGCATTGGCATTATACATTGTAATGCTTATTAAACACCAAGGATGGCTTGAAGAACAAGTCTGATCCATTTATTTCTGTCATCTTTATTCGCTTTGCAGTCCTGCAATGATTGCTGACAGGACTGACATATATTCCTCACCAACATATTTGATTATGTGTGTGGGTGCCCTCTAGAGTCCAGTATGAATGAAATAACATTTCAATGTATTCTTTAGCTCTTGAATTCTGCCCACAGCCATGAAAAGTTTATTTCTAACCTGGTTCAGCATATCTGCTTGTTTATTTTATATGACCTTGAAAAGCGTAACCTTCTGCTTCAGTGAAAATGTAACAATTATATAAAATATAAATATAAAAATGAAAATTAATATTTTGCTCTAAGGCATAGGTCTCAAACTAGATTCCTGGATAGGCGCAGTTCTGCTCCGACCCTAATCAAACACAGCTGATCCATCTCAAGGTGTCCAAAGCTACTAGAGACTATTAAGCAGGTGTGAGTTGGACGTAGTTGGAGCTAAACTATGCAGAGCTGCGGCCCTTTAGGAATTGAATTTGAGACCACTGCTCTAAATATACAAGATTTATTGTGTCTCTCAGTTGATAAACATGAATTATTATCAACAAATCATAAGAAATATCAGAAAACATTGTGATATTACTTAAAGTCCATATCACCTATCCCTATCAGATATTCTAACTATTTGCCACTTAATGATGTCATAGTATTCTGAAATGGCTAATTGGTTGTTTCAGGTACAGGAAGCAGTACATGGGGTTACTGTAGAGGAGTGTCAAACAGCCTTGCAGGCACACAACTGGAATGCTCAGGAGGCCGTGAAGTATCTAAAGGTATCGGTGCATGATTGCAGACACAAAAAAGAGAGGCACTTGTGGATGATGAAACATATTTGAAATATTCACACCCACACAACTGTTTTTTTTTATATAGGTAGAACAGTTATTCCGACTGGGTTTGAAGACTCGGCCTGAATGCATGGAAACTCTGCAGAGATGTGGCTGGAATCTGGAACAGGCCAGCACCCAAATGCTGGATTCCTATGGTCCATCCAGGCATAGGTACAAAATGATTATAGAAAATAGGATAGGTGTCCCCAAAATCAAAATTCTCTCACCATTTTTTCAACCCTTATCAGAGGAGCCTCGATTAGAGTATTGTGCAGGGCTGTTTTTTTTTTTTTTCATATCCACATCTACTTGTTCCCATTACATTTCTGTCCAGGACCACTCGCTGCCAATCGACTGTCTCTCAGAGCTTATGAAAAATGTACACAAATACTTGGACTAAATATTTCTTCATGTTAACATCCAGAATAACAATAAGGTGAAGGCTAATAGAAAACCAAACCGTCACATGTGACAAAAATATTGTTCCGGACCCTCAGTTTAAACGTACTGCATGGTACACACAGCAAACTATTGACAAACAAACTGTTAACAAACTGTTTAATTAAATAAGCCAAAGCACAATACAAAGTTGCTATAATTTATTAAATAAATACGCACATTGAACTTTGGTTAGATAATATTGAAACAAATTTAAGTGAGGTTTTAAAAATTAATTTCGAGAGGAGCAAGTCATATGATTCATCACAACTGGTCTCATCTGCAATCATTGATAAACCCATCTGATTCATCCAAACCTAAAATAAAAAGCCCGTTTCACCTTACTTCCTTATCTTCGTTTTTGAAGAATCCCCCCATCCACCCCATCTCCCCCTTTTCCTCTTTTACCAGGGAAAGCTTACATATAATTAACCTGGTGGGAGGCCTAGCCTCAATTATCTTCAAGCTTAGGGTTCTCTCCAGGGACAGCATGCCAAACCTATTATTATCAAGCAATATCTAAGTGTGAACTCTTGAAATATGCTAAATAATAAATAAATAAATTTATAAATAAATAAATATAATTTCTCAAAAATCTCAGAGATTTCTCATACAATAGGCTAACTTAATTCACAAGTCATTGCAAACTTTAAAATATATTATAGCCTACTAAAATAAATAAATAAAGTTACAAAATAAAGTAGCCAGTTTTACAGACAAATTAATGTGATCACTGGAACTTGACTTGCTCACTTCATATTACTCTGGACTAAAAGTAAATTGCTGACTTATGCATCTTTCTTCCAAGATCAGCCCACACACACTGATGTCACACAGGAATGCTCAAAATAAAACGCTCAAGTTTTGAACTCAATTTCTTTTGCACTCCAAATCCCACTGTTCCCCTATTGGTCTCGGGGTCCCATTTTTTTTTTTTTATATTTAATTTGGATCAAATCGGTTCAGATTTGGAAATCCCATGTTTTGCTATCACGGATTAACTAATCTATCTTACTTTTTATAACAGTTTTTTTTTGGGTTGGATCACTGTGATCTAAATGGCAAATTTAGGATTACTAAATCCTATTTTAACAGTTTAGCCTACTGGAGTAGCAAAGAACAACAGGTAGGCAAAACACCAGTGGCCACAAACAGCCATTGTTTGTTTAATGGTAAAAAGTAGAAACACTGCAATCAACAAACATTTAACATTTTTTGTTTGTTTGTTCTAATGAAATACTGCTTTGATATTAATTTTGTTGTTGTTTACCATATCTCAGTAGATGTGACATACTTCATATAGGCTTCAAATATAAAGGAATTTAAAGATCATCAGTAACCATTAGATTTGTCATTATTCACTTGAAAAATGTAAACTTTTTTATTTTACTTGGTTAAATAAAATCACAACTAAATCCACCCTTTTGATAGGATCAGGATAATGCTGTTTTTTTTTTTTTTTTTGGATCAAATAGATCTCAACCTGAGTTTAAAGTTTTGAATAACGCAAAGGGCAAGTTTGATCCAAATAAGTATAAGATTGGATTATGTGGTCTGATTTTAATTTAAAAAATCCCTCTGTTACTTTTGAAAAACCCATTTCCAAGATTTGATCCAATCTGTGATCCAAAATCCCATTGGATTACCTTTAAAAAAAACTGGGCCCTGCCGAATTTTCCGACTGCCAACTCTCATTTGCAGCAAAGTAAAAGCAACTCCTTCAGCATAATTTGCGTTGGGTCCTCGGGAGCCCAAACCCCTTGCAGCCCTCCACTAGGTATTTTAGGTCATATGTGCACAGATTTTTGCTCCTTGGGTAGAAATCTTGCCCAGGATTCAAAGCCTGTGCACTCTTTCCTCCAGCGACACCCTGACCCAAATGTTATTCTAAACCTTTGTTCATAATCTCGCTGATATTTCTCTGATTTGTGTCAGGTTCTAATGGCAGGAAGATGAAGAACCAAGCTGATCTCCATTCCACTGGAGGCAACGCACCGACTGTGGACCAGATATATAGTAGATATTTAGCAGGTCATGTGAATATTCATTGCTTTACTGCTTGAAATCAATGCAACACAAATGCAAACCTCACTTACTTGAAGTACAATAGTGTGAGCAGTGTGAACCATGAACATCACTGATTCAAATGTGACTTCACAGCATTCAGCCTGGGAAATGTTTGTAGATTATTTATTTAGTATATTTAATGCAGGGGCATAATGATGATCTGAACAGTGGTGACTAATCTGTGAGTCTTATCAGCACAGCTAATGAATATTTATTGAGTGCAGTGTAATGGTTATTATTTTGTATTTTACTTAAGACAATGCAGGGTATAATGTATAGAAACGTGCGCTTTGGAATGAATATACAGTATAGAACATTATGGTGCAGTCACATTAAGTGAATATTGGAATCAATGTACAGGGTGCGGACGTTTCTCCACACAGGTTGTTCACATACTAAATAGAAAGTTGTTTGGTGTGAAAATGGCTTCTGTGTGAGCTTTACATTACATTGCTACACTACTGACCACACACAATGGACTTTTTGTATGTAAAATTTCACCAAATTGACTGCACCTTTTTACTTTTCCAAACGTTTGCTAACACATTGACAATGCTGCATGCAGATCACAGGCCTTGTTGTTGCTACGTTTACTAGCTTTTTAATAGGTTTATTCTTTTTAGGCCAAATTAAAAATTAGTCTGAGCCTCAGCTGGGTTGAGGGTTGGGGTAGGGGTAGACGTTAATAAAACACAATAAATGAGAAATTTAATGAATAATAAAAAATAATTCCAAATAAATATAGTAATCCATACCTGATTAACCATGTGGATGGATGATAACAGTCTTCTGAGCCCCAGAAAGCCCCTACTAGCCCATATCTATCAACTGATAACCACTAATAACTCCCATTCAATCGAGTGATGACATTTAAATCAGCTGACAATTCAACTATAGTTCTTCTGTTACTGTTTTTATATTTTCATTCATTTTCTTGTCGACTTAGTCCCTTTATTAATCTGGGGTCACCACAGCGGAATGAACCACTAACTTATCCAGCAAGTTTTTACACAGCGGATGCCCTTCCAGCCGCAAACCATCTCTGGGAAACATCCACACACACACTCATACACTACGTACAATTTAGCCTACCCAATTCACCTGTACCGCATGTCTTTGGACTGTGGGGAAACCGGAGCACCCGGACGAAACCCACGCGAAGGCAGGGAGAACATGCAAACTCCACACAGAAACGCCAACTGAGCCGAGGTTCGAACCAGCGACCTTCTTGCTGTGAGGCGACAGCACTACCTACTGCGCCACTACCTCGCCCGTTTCTGTTACTGTAATATCATCTATTTTAACTCCACACTTTAAACTTCCACGGATAATATGAAAAACTTTGTTGGTTACCTTCACATGTCAGTCAGATCCTCAGATGGTCTCCTCTTGGGCCATTTTCTTGAGTTTTCTTATGTTAGACATCAAGCTGCATGGGAATATATTCAAGTAAAAGAATTTTCATGTGCTATGATGACTGCAAACAACAGATAGTATACTGTATAATTGCAAGTACAATATTAATGCATTTATTTTCTTGCTAGTTTTTGTTGTTTTGAGCACTAAAGACGTGGTTACCTACTTATTTACATATTTAGCTGTTATGAGAATGGGACAAATTATTTTTAAAGTAAGTAGAATGTGAACTCCGTTATGCATTTTGCGATTTTGCTCAGGTTCATCAAACCCAGAAACTGCATTTAGTCTCTGTGTGAGGATTAAGGAAAGTTTGTGTTAATGAAATATATGGAACACAATCAATGACAAAAGTATTGAAATAATAAGCTTGTAGAATAGCACTAACTGAAAAAAAACAATACATTGTATTAACAACTGCTTGCATTTTAGTGACTTGAATTGCTAGGGTTTGTAATTTTAGCTCCTGAAATTTAACACAGCTGTTTATTTAAGCTGTGAATATTCAATTCAAAACCCTTAATGTGTTTATGCCTTTTTATGATGATGTTTATATTCACCGTTTCATTTGGGGAAATTAGAGATAATTAAGTGATATCTCAGAACTTTAATAATTAATCTATATAATATGCTGCGCTCCCACCTTCAGTCACAATCACTTCTGGAATTTTCCGAGCAAGTTCGGTGCTCAAGTCTGCATCCATCCGTCCTCGATATTAAGAACACATCCAGGAAGTTTCACACGTTCTCCGGTCTTGCAGTCTTGAGTATTAGAACTGATCTGGCAGTTAATGATGACGTTACATGAGAACACAAGGAGGCAAGATCGCTGAAGAACGCATATTGAGAAACAGCCATAATGTTGAATTTTAACAGCTGAATTTCAGCCACTAAATTTATGGAAGCAAATTTTTTAACTGAAATAAAGTGAACTGAAAATTGCCTTTTGAATATTATACTTCATGTGTTTTAAACAGAACTGAATATTTTGGAAGTGAAATCTGGAGGTTGGATATAGGGATGGGATGATAATCGTTTTCAAGGTGTACCGTGGGTTGGAAAAGTCAAGGTTTTAAAACCGCCAAAATTTTCTGTAATACCAATCCTAAGGTATGTGTAACATTTTTTATTTACATTTTTTTGTTGTTGTTTTTTAGAACAACAGTAACTCCACCAGTGTGGTTTGAATTGAAATATTCACAGCTTAAAAAAACAGCTGTATTAAATTTCAGGTGCTAAAATTAAAAACCCTGGCTTTTCAAGTCACTAAAATGCAAGCAGTTGTTAATTTAATGTATTATTTTTTCAGTTACTGCTATTCAACAAGTTTTTATTTCAGTAATTTTGGCATTAATTTTGCTCCATATAAATGATCTTTTTTGTTATATGTACATTTTTCTCTTCTGTCTGAACACGTCAACTGTAAATCACATTTTTCACATAGCACACAGATGTCTGTCTGAGCTAATTGAGGCTTCTGCACTGTGCTTGTGCGCTCTGTAATTTTCATCTGCCTTTTGTCCAGATGCTCAGTATTCTAGTTTATGTTGTTCCTGCACTGTTTTGTGTTCATGTATATGCAATTGTTATTGCAAAGCGTTTTTTGGAATATAGCCTCCGTCAATGTTCGCCTCATGTATGTCACAGCTTACTTTTTCTGAAGTTCATGGCGGAATGCTGGGCTATGTGTAAAAGCTTTATAAATGTGTATTGTATAAATATGTATCTGTATTTTTGTAATGAAATAAATATTTAAATCCGTTGTGATCATGGATTTACTGAATGTAGAGGCGGAGCTGCACCAAAGGGGCCACTAAGTCTGCATGTGGAGCTGCCCAAGGGGGCCCACTGAGCCCAATATCAGTTTCTTTAACCTGTATTACTTCAATCCACCGTTAGATGTCAGTGTTATGCTAAATAATAAAGGACTTTCAAATCTGCTTGATTCATATTTGATATTCACAAGACTCTTAAATCATGAATTTATTCTCCATGATACTAATGAAATCATATTGTCCATTGAAACCCATTTCTGCCACAAGAAAAAAATTAAAATAAAATAATTATAAAACTTGAAATTTGAGGGGGAAATTAATAAAGATTTGATTAAAAATATATAATTTATTTTTAACTCATAAACTTGCCATTATTTTGGCATACTGTATGCTATGTATTTGTGATTAATTTAAATTTGACTATATGATGTAGCATGTCATGATGTTGATGATGTTATAATTTGATAAAATTACTTATCAAAGCATTTTTGTGGCCCCTTGTTCCACAATTTTACAATGAAGCATAACAACTGGGTGCTTATTATTATATTTGACTATTTTTTAAATAATTTACCATAAAAGCAAGGCGGAAATGGTCAGACTCTTTGTTTTTCTGAGTAGGTCTAACTGATTTCATATATCAATCCGCGTTGTCGGCAGGCTTGTTTGTTGCCAAACGGATATCAGCGTTTTATAGGTGAGCTTTTATTTATCTCTAAAAGATAACAGTAGTCTAGTTAACAATAAAATATCGCTTGAACAAACCAGCCAATAAGGGTGACGATGAACCGAAGGAAAAATGTGTTTTATGAATGTGAACTGTTTATGTAGAGGAGTTTTCTTATTTATGCCTACAATGAGCTACATATCTTCAGGGTTGTCGAGGACTATTTTTCTTAGCGGAAGCTTTTTTATCTGTCTTTACCATGGACTGTAAAATGTATTAACATGTATCAAATGAAGTTGCAGTTGTGATCTGATCAGTTTTTTTTTATTGTTTTTTACCACACCATCTACTTCGCTTTTCCTAAATGAATAACCATTCAGTACATTTTGTATGCTACAAATATTAATCATTAGTTGGGTTAAAGGCTTCATTGTATGCTTATGGGAAATTGAGATTTGAAATGAAATGAAAATTAAAAATATATACTTTCTAAGCCAAACCTGAAAAGTTAATTGATTTAATATGCATATGTTGAACCCATTTGTTATTTTTTGACTTTAAGAAAGTCTGTCATATTAAACAAACATGTCTAAATTGCAGAATTTGTCCCCCAAACACAATTCCACCAGAGATTAGCAGCAAGCTCAAAGGCTAGCTTTGCCTGGTCCCATAAACATGGAATCTGTGTATACAACAACCAACAACCTTTTATGGCCTTTTCAAGTTTTATATCTCCATTTTTAAATTACATTGTGTTAAAAGTTCTTTCCATTATGCATAGTTCACCCAGAAATTATAATTATCTACCCTCAAGTTTTTTTTTCAAGCTTTTGTAAGTTTTTTACTCTGTTGAACAAAAAAGAACCTTTACAACAGATTAGCAAACTTATAATTGCAACAAAAATGGAAGCAAGGATATTTCCAGGCAGAATTAAAGGAACACTTCACTTTTTTGAAGATACAGTAAGTCCCTTAGAGTCAAACAGTAGAGTTTTACCATTTTTAAATCCAAAGATAAAACACAGCTCTGGAATATCTTTCAGACATTTGTAAGAGGATTCAAATATATTGTCAAGCATTGTGTAATAGGATTACGCCTGTTGCAACTTTGGTACTGCAGCAAATTTCCTTGAGTTTTACAACGGAATGGGAGCATATGGGGGAGCGGGGAACAAAGTAACACTTTTTAGTTTTGTTCAAATAATGAACAAAGTAGTAGAGTTAGACAAACCAAAATTTTTATTAATAACACACAAGCCTCTCCTACAAATGAGCACTAAAATTATTATCGCCAGACCTATGGTTTCTGTGCAGTATTGCCAAAAGTGCCAGGAGTAAAAATTTTACTATTTACCTCACTTGTGGGGCAAGATGTAACAGACAGAGGGATAGTTGTAACACATGCCTAAAAAGGCAGATTTCACACAGTTAATTTTATTGGATAAACACATTTGAATCTATTTGCATTGTTATCCATTTATCCATTATTATACAATGCAATTATTTGCAATAATTGTTTTATATTAAAATATTTTTTGTTAAAAATATTTTTATTTAAAAAGTTCTCAACATTACACTCAAAATTAAGAAATATATATTTTGTTAGTTTAATTGGTGTCCAACAGTGTGTGGCTTAATTGTAACACCCTGTTACAACCAACCCCGCTGTGTCGTGTTTTCTTCTAAACTGGCTAGCAGTCACTGTGTGTTTTTTACATCTGTCAATTTGGTTTAGTCTTTTAGCCTAGAAGACGGTGATCACAACAATACAAATTTTTACATCCAAAAATTTAATAAAATCCAATTTAAATAAAAAAATATTGACTATATTAAAACATATTTTTATGCTGCAAAAATGTTTTCTCCTGTTTCTCATCCAAAATTCGCAGAAGCAGGCCATCGTTAACCCTGAGCAAATACCTTAAAACTCGGTTACATTCAACCCTGCATTACATTGTGCCCCCGTGCTCCCCTAGTTCCTAGCCATATAGACTAAGCAAATAACAGCATTTAATTTTCCATCTGTGTTAGTATTCAATGTTACTACGGAAAGTCTAGTTTTAGATAGGAAAAATATCAAAATTGTTTGCTAATTTTTGAGTGAGATGCTAATGGTCTAATCCGATTCAATAGTTTTTGCTAAGCTTAGCTCAAAAGTACTCCTGCCAGGCCCAGAGATCAGCTGTATAGATTTAAAAAATGGTAAAACTGTTAAA